ATATACGCGGCTCCTGGCGGCCAAGGTGGGCTGTGACCGGGAGGACAGTGCTGAAGCTGTGGAGTGTCTGCGCCGGAAGCCTTCCCGGGAGCTGGTGGACCAGGACGTGCAGCCCGCCCGGTATGGGTATTGGTACGGGGGTGGGAGAGGGCCAGGGCCAGGTCTGCGCTCACCTTGCTGGTTCCAGGGAGGTTGAGGGTGAGAGGTGTCTGCAGGCATTTTACTTGGCAAAGGAGAGGTGGGCTTCAGGCTCCTCTGATGGCCCTGTCTTCTACTCTCGGGAGCCTTCCCCAAGTATGCACAGGGTGCCCGAAAGTGCTTCAGAGAAGACCTCCCAACAGGCCAAGTGCCCTTGAGGGTTCCTAGATGTTAACTAAGGAGCAGTGTCTTCAGGGCAGAGGCTCAGCAAGCTCTGAGCCCAGTGGAGGCCAGTGAGCTGGTGATGAGACCCTACCCCTTCTCCCCAGCTACCATATCGCCTTCGGGCCTGTGGTGGACGGCGACGTCGTCCCCGATGACCCCGAGATCCTCATGCAGCAGGGAGAATTCCTAAATTACGACATGCTCATCGGTGTCAACCAAGGAGAGGGCCTCAAGTTCGTGGAGGACTCAGCAGAGAGCGAGGACGGCGTGTCCGCCAGCGCCTTTGACTTCACAGTCTCCAACTTTGTGGACAACCTGTATGGCTACCAGGAGGGCAAGGATGTGCTGCGGGAGACCATCAAGTTTATGTACACAGACTGGGCCGACCGGGACAACGGTGAGATGCGGCGCAAGACCCTGCTGGCACTCTTTACTGATCACCAGTGGGTGGCGCCAGCCGTGGCCACCGCCAAGCTGCATGCCGAGTACCAGTCCCCTGTCTACTTTTACACCTTCTACCACCACTGCCAGGCTGAGGGCCGGCCCGAGTGGGCAGACGCAGCGCACGGGGACGAGCTCCCCTACGTCTTTGGTGTGCCCATGGTGGGTGCCACCGACCTCTTCCCCTGCAATTTCTCTAAGAATGATGTCATGCTCAGCGCCGTGGTCATGACCTACTGGACCAACTTCGCCAAGACTGGGTGAGGGCCAGAGGGGCTGGGCGGGGCTCCATGCAGGCCAAGGCGCGCACACCTCCACCCTCAGTCCTTCTCCCTCTCACTCCCTCACAAGGCCCTCTGTAATGGGCACTCTTGCCTTTTCAACTCACACACCTGCTGGACACCTGCTCTGTGCCAGGCACTGAGTTGCGTGTTGGAGACCCAGCAGTTAAACACAGAGGTCCCTGTCCGTCTGGGGTGGGCTCACTTGGTGGCTTTGGCTCCATGCCTGTCTCTTCATCCCTCCCTTGCCTGGTCACCCTCTCTCTTTCTTCTCCCAGGGCTCTGCCCTCTGACTACTCCCATCTGTGGATGAGTATGTGTGAGCGATTGTGTCTGTCTGTCTTTATTGCTGTCTCTCCATCTCTCCCCCTTGAAAGCCATTGATATCTCTCCCTTTCCCTTTGATCTGTTTGCTTCTTGTTGCTGATTTCACCCAGGCTGTCTCTCATGTGTCTTTGTCTTCCTGTTTCTACGGGTCTCTATCTCACTCAGTCTCAGCCTCCGCCTCTCCCACTGGCTGTTTCTCTGTCTCTGCTTATCTCTGTCCCTCTGTCCTCATCTCTGTCTCTACAGTCTGTCTCTTTCCCTCTTTGTTTTTCTATGTCTCTGGCAATTTCTCTCTTTGTATCCATCTCTGCCTCTGGTTTCCTCTGACTTTCCTCTGTTTCCCTGGCTCTCTGCATCTCTGTCTCCCTCCCCAGTCCTCCCCCACCGTCTCACCCTGTGGGAGCCTCACCCTCATTCCTCCTTTCCCTGCCCTCCTGTGCCCACAGCGACCCCAACCAGCCGGTGCCGCAGGACACCAAGTTCATCCACACCAAGCCCAACCGCTTCGAGGAGGTGGTGTGGAGCAAGTTCAACAGCAAGGAGAAGCAGTACCTGCACATTGGCTTGAAGCCGCGCGTGCGTGACAACTACCGTGCCAACAAGGTGGCCTTCTGGCTGGAGCTCGTGCCCCACCTGCACAACCTGCACACGGAGATCTTCACCACCACCACGCGCCTGCCTCCCT